CACCTTCAGATTCCTTTTGTTTTTCACGCTCAATCATTAAATCCATAAGAACAGAAAATATTTCATCGACGTTCTCTCGGGTTTTAGCGCTGGCCTCTATGTAGAACATACCTTCCCTCTTAGCGAAGCCTTGCACCTTTCCGTCATCAACCCACCTCTCTGACTCGTCGCTTTTGTTTCCGACTAGGACAAGAGCTACTTTTTCACTGCACAATTCCTTCACGACGTTCAGCCACGTCTGCACTTCCAAGAAAGAAACTTGAGAGGTAAGGTCGAACATAATGACCGCGCCGCGGACGCGGCGGAATACCTGCGGAACAAAGCTTGCCGCCTTGGTGAACTTATGTCCACCCATATCAACCAGATGGAGATGGACTGACTTATCTCGAAAATGCAGCCGCTCAAAGTGATCTTCTGATTGAATGGTGCTAGGGAGTGGTATCTCAGAGAACTGTTTTTTAGTATCTAGGAATCGAGCAACAATGGACGTCTTCCCAACACCGGACTCCCCGACAACTACAACCTTGAACTTATGATCGTAATGGACGTGTCGCCTGGTACCAACTTTATCTCCTGGGGGGCTACCAGAGGATTTTCCTTCCATTCCCTTGCTGAATTTGAGCAGGGTCTCTATGATTTCGGCGGCACTGGGTCTTTTCTCGGGAATGTTCTCGAAGCACTGGCAAACAAGATTGTGGAGAGGGTGGTCAGGGCCCATTTCCTCCAGGTCCTCGCTCCGCCTTATGTACTCCGGGACAATCTCCCCATCTAAAACAAAAGTCAAATTTGGTTTGAATGTGCAGCCTGGCAAACAAAGGCCGGAGTATAATGGGAGCAAATGTCCTTTGCATGTTTACACACGAACTTTCACCTACCACTAAACTCTGCAAGAAGTTTAAAGTAATACAATTCTTTGAATTTTTTTTTAGCAGTGAGGTAACTGAGGGAGTCATATAGTACACATGGTTTTCCAAATAAACGAAACATAGTCGATCACCAAAAATAAATTCGTGTAAATGTTATGTCTGGATTCTGGTTAGATATCGAGACAACATTCCTCAGTTGATGATTTCCTTTATTCTCACAATCTGTCTACTTGACAATGTACCAATTATTGTAAGAGGAAGTTATATGTTGATCAATAAGAGATACTCCTAAAAATTTTTGTTACGAAACCAAATGATTTTTATGGCCAATCCTAATTTAGACAGTGAAACTCCATCATTGAAAGCTAACCATAAACAGGCTAACCAGTGCATTATTTAGGCTAACCTGAGTGATATTCAGGCTAACTGGAGTGATATATAATCTAATCAGAGTGACATTCAGGCTAACGTTACCAAACTGTAGATTTTCACTACGATTAGCCTGAATAACCATGTTTATGGCGAGCACTCAATTATGGAAATAATGATATATACTTAAAAAGTCTGCAGTCTGCAGTGCACAGTCTGCGTTTTACACTGACTGTATTTTACACACTAAAAAGGCTAAATCATACCTGCTGGCACTGCCTATATAAATAAGGGCATATCCCTTCGGGTTTGATCACATTTGTGGAATTAACAATTCACTTCAGGTTCACTTCAAGTGAAGCGGAAATGAGTTTATCAAATTAGAAATAAACCTACAATGCGCAATGGAGCACGTTTATCTATCTTAAAGTAATATGGGAGTCAAAAGACTTTATACTGACGTCTCACGGATCATTATAAATTGAAGTCGAAGCAGACAGTTTCGGGAGCGAATTGTTTCATTTTCTTATAAAAGAGTTGTTTATATCATTTGCGTGACCGCTAGTTTATTGCGTGACATCGAGATCTAAGCATCGAGAACGCCAGCAAAGCGCAATATCACAATATTTCTGCGGATTACCCGATACAAATGGCAAGCTAAACCCGCTACGCCGGTACGAAATAAGGCAGTTAACATCTACAACATCAATATTTTCCAAAGGAATGATTGGAAGCATTACCTTCAAGAACAGGGTCAGGCAAATCACGTTCCGGCAAATGGCCAATAATTGTTTCCAACATCAATG